CCAGTAAGCGACTATCATTTGAATAACTATTGGAATCTAGAAATCAATGAGTAGCTATTTTGTTATAGTTTGATTAGCTGCAATGATTTTCATCCACGATTCATGATTAACATTGAGAATAATGTTATTTCACAAAAAAATTACATTTGTTTCAAAGTAAACATCAACTTAGGGCTTCATGTGCGTCCAGCTGGAGAGCCCCAAACAGAACGAAAGGCGCGTCCTGAATTCCACTTCTATCCATTATCTATCTCAGCTTAAAATTCTTTGGGTCTAGTGACAATATAGAGGCAAACATCAGAGGATGTATATATGCCAAGAGAGACTGATCAATTTCGGTCTTAAACATCAAGTAGAAGATCCAAGCAAATTATATATATCGATTAGTATTGTAATGCATGTTATTGTTCGGCATGTTATTTGTGTCCCTCTTTTCCTTGTTTAATAAACTGTATTAATTGCTGTTTTTAAACTAACAGTTCTCATTTGAGTTTTGGAAACACATAAAGTTTATGAATCCAAATAGCATGCTTGTTCCGACTTTGGCTAAACTAATAATCTGTGCTCGGTAGTCTGGAGAACAGATTAGAATTGAATCTGTAGGAAATTGCTCCCTACAAAGTTTCCGACAGGAATTCAGCAGGAATTCACACGTCAAGTGCTGTTAAATGTTTACAAAGAAAACTCATAAGATTAAACAGACCTCTGAATTGTCTCCCCAATATGCAGGAACTCATAGGTATAACCAATTTAAGAAAAACGGCTACCGATTATATCCTTTGTTAGAACTGGAATTAGCTAAAGTATGTTTAGCTCAGATAAAGAGGAATTGAGTTGGAAACGTTACGTCAAAAGAAAAGAGAACATTATAGTCAAGTTGTGACCGAAAAGGTTATATCGTGCGAGTCCACATCTGCCTCAAGTGCAGTTGAAGTTCCTTCTGGAAAGGACTCGATAACACATATGTAAAGATTTAGATTTACCAAAGAGAGAGATCATAAGGTTTGGTGGTAATCCCATAAACAATGGAGTTTCATACGGAGTTTCGAAGACTTTTCATGAAAGCGTTGGATCCCGATCTTGTTTAAACTACTTGGTTCAGTATTGTGGTGGTGAAACCAAAGTTACTACTGTACACTATGACTTGCTCGAACCAGAAGAATGCTATTGTAAGGCGTTTGAGATTCTCAAGGAAGCGTTCAGTCAGTAGCACATTGTAGATCATGCAAAGAAAAAGGAAGTCACCAACTGAAGGTCACTGTGACGAAGAGGGCAGAAACTGAGGAGCCCAATAAGCAAGCAATACATATTCGCTGTGGTGTCGTACATGGTGTTATGAAATGTACTTTTCTACGAATTGGGAATAAGGGCGTGTCTAGTGTGTTTTAAAAAGCCAGCGACAGTCTTAGACAGACTGTATGTAGTTGGAACCACAATATGAAAGGAAATGTCTTTTTGGAAAGAGGTTGTGAATGTTGCTTTAACCCTTCAAGAGCTAAACACTGGGGCTGTTCATAGGAATGCATCGTAAAGTCAACAAGAATTTTGCGATCATTACTATTTCAGAAGGTGTTGATGGATGAGACTTCGGAGACGTTTTAAAGAGAGGCTGAAGGATTACTGAACAATTCGCCATTAGCACAGATAGTTAATGACTGTGATAATCTGGATCTACTTGCACCAAAAAAGTTAATGTTAGTTTGTACCATTCGATGAAGCTCAAACATGCAAAACATGCATGTATAACAGGCGAAGGAAAGAAGCGCAACGATTAGCCAACCTATTCTGGAACAGATGAATACAAGAGTAACTATCAACTCCTCAGGTGCGATCCAAGTTATTGAAAGTAAGAAGAAATATGAAGCCATGAGATTTAGTGTTAGTAAACAGCACTGACTCATTGAGAAATTGGTGGCTGAAAGCTATGTTTAGACAGGTCAATTATGGTTCAGATGGACGATTATTTAGAGTTTGACAACACCCCAACCAGTAACACCTTATGTAATCGAAGCGTGCCAGCACAGTGAAATCAGAAGCAGAAAGGTTCGAAGATACATTTGATAGGCCATAATTATATCGAGAAGTGACCGATCTAAACTGACTAGCGGTTGTAGGATGAGTTGAGCACAGTGTAACCACTCGCGATCTAGTGCGCATGCATGACCGAGCGCCTTCCGCTCGGCGAGTCCATTTCAACTAATGTGGTCAACATCAAATGTCGAAGACTTACAGAGTTATTAATTTGGGGGGTTACTTACCGCTACAAGTGAGACTACGATAGAAAAGTGAATTTAAATTCAATTTTTGAGCATTGAACCCATATCCATACTTAATGCTGTTTCTTTTAAAAAGAAAAATTACTGGTAATAAGTAAAGACATAACAACAAATACCCATGTTAATCAAACTACGGCTCAAAGCACAAACTATATCAAATCTAATCAAACGAAATACATACACTTGACACTACTTACAACATATTGATCGCTGAGTCAAGACCAGTGTTACGTTTATCTTGTCCTTTAACGCCGATGAAATTCTACCAGTCTAGCTGTGGTATTTCCGGAGGTCTAGACGAATCGACATTATGTACATTACTTTGAGATGTAAGATGGTTGGATGGTGATGCTTTTTCGAAGCTCACGATTGACGTTAGTTTCCCTAAAACTGGGGACTATCCTTGCTGGCGAGTTCTAACTAGCGCAGAAACGTAGTCATTGGTGGGCCGCCGGCTACCGCCAACTAACACAAAATATATATTCTCGTATTCGATATCGAAAATCCGCTAAAAAATTTATTCGCTAAATTATATGTAAAACAGTGAAATTCTAAAATGGATGACCGGTCTTATTACAGAATAAACAGAAAACGTAACCAAAGTTTCTGCACTGAGACTTTCATAAAAGTCAACGAAGATGAAAACATCGTCAAAGTAATTTATTTACTTCATGTATAAACTTCATCTTTGTTGAATAACTAGTTACAGTGTATGAGTACTAACTTCATAGTAAGTAAATAATAAAATGTTATGGACAACTTAATAGATTTGAAGAAAAAAGTGTAGATGACTGAGGTGGTCAAACAAAAAGTCTGCTAACGGAATAACGTCCCGAATTTTAATAGAAATTTTGAATATATGGGCACATTTACACAAAATATTTAATAAAAACGGCATAACTATTTTTTAAAGATCAATTGACACCAAGGAGCAAAATTAAGGTCATAAGAGAACTAACAAGTGTTCAATTTTCTCCATTGTAACAGAATACAATATTAATGTTCTAAGTAAAAGATAAGCAATGACAAAAAATCCGTATAAAAATCTGGAAACATACCAACCAAAAACAACACAGCAATTCTTCAGTGACCAAGTATCGGAATATCTAGGAACTATTATATAAACATTTGATGAGAACTATATTGTCTCTAAAACTTGACTGTCAATACAATAACACTATTTCCTTGGGTAGAAAATTCTTTACGCCCTACTTTATTAAATTAGTTAGAATGTCGTATTTTCCATGACAAAACCTCACATACAAAGATTCGAAATCCAGTGCTATATTTCAAGATCTTTTCGGAGTATCATTTTGGTTTCAACTCCTAAATAATTAGATCATGAATTCATCGTCAATTTTCCTATATTGTATTACTGGAAGCACTTCATTGAACAACTTCACCCTAAACATTTTAATAGATTACTTGATTTACCATACTCGTCATGTTTAGTGTAATATAAACAACTTAGATACAATTACCATTCAATCCATCGTTGTATAACGTCGACCAGTCTTAAAGCGAAATAGACAACTAGTGTTCTGGAAATACTCGACACGAGTTAATATCACTGATATATCAACCTACTTTTCAGGAACGTTTCCTAACGCAAGGTTTACTACCCCGAACCAAAAAACGTGTTAAAATCAACGGTTATACTCTTCGATTTCGCCAACCTCGTGTTCAGCCAAATTCTCGTCACACAATAAGCTGACTTGGAGAAACATAAATGGTCCCAGATTTGTATTTTGGCAAACTGTGAAATTAGTGTCTAAATGCGCAATGGTAAGCTGGTGTTTATTACCGTTGAAAAGAACTGCACTGGACTCAAATCTCGAGAACTTTTTGGGAAATCAATAGATCTCGAAATCTTGAGTGCATTTCAACCGTATTTATCATTCATTACATTTCCTTAAAGAAACCGACCGCTCACATCCGTTCCTACTCATTAGTCTTTCCATAATTATCAATTTTCAGCATTTTAGTAACCAAACAGTAGTAAGTTATATTCAATCCTTGCATAACTCATATTACGAGACTTTGCGCAAAAGACTAAGGCACATCACTTCCAATCTATTTGGTTCGATGTGATAGCTTACTTGTACCCTTTAAAATGTTTGTGGAAAAAAAACAATGTTTGAGATTTTGAAATTGAGTAAGGACAGCACCTCTGCAACACTAACAGACGTTGGTTATTTTCGAGGTTGATTCATAAAGATCTACGAACTGCTAAAACCACCAATAAACGCATATAATGAGTAAGCGACCCCAAAACGCAATAAGTTTGAGAATTACTCTCTTAAAATATTTTAAACATAAAACAAATACCAGTGATTTTTGTGTTTCCACATAAAAGTAACGGGAAAACTATCACCCTTGACTGAATTCATTTGTCAACAGATACTTTCTTCACTTAAAATGGAGTATGTGTTGAAAACGTAAAGTACATGCTTTAATCATACAGAATTAAATGACACATGTAATCTAGTTCCAAATAATAAGAACGAAGCTTTAATTCAAAAGCACATATAATACAAACTTGAAAATGATTAACAAAAGAATAGAGCCACTGTAAACTAGGTCAAAAATAAATACCTAATCTACACAAGATAGTAAAATTAAATTTTATTTTCTTACATTAGAAACATGAAATTGTTTTCAGAAAAGGAAGTGTCGAAAATACACACATGTACATCACACAAGACGTTGTTGTCGAGTTCTTTATTATTCACCTTTTTCCTTATCATCCCTTAAATACAAAAATACAAAACTAAATAATATTAGGCCAATCATCATTGATATAGCACTACTATAATAAGGATAAGCAGCCACGAGGAATCGTTCATATTGTGTATGTGTAAATGGACGAACAGGAACCTGTATGAGGATAAACAATAAATATATTATTCAGGTTTTAAATCAGAATATTTGGGAGGGTGGATAGAGCAAAAACTAGAAAACCAAGAACTTACTTGAGTAACACTTATTAGGTGTGTATAGCCAACACGATAATAATCAACTACGAATTTGAATACTCCGTACACATCAGGTAGTTTCATAGCAAGTTTGTATTCACCATCTACAAAAATGTGACGATTGGAAAATTCAGATTAGAAATATAATGCTGGTTAAATAAGATGAAAAAAAACTGTAAATTTGTGGAGGTACACATTATTTATAAGAGTTACATAACACTACTTTGTTGGCCACATCTATATCATATCGTCACAACTAGGAAAAAACTACAAAGATGAATACAATGGTAGTAAGAAACTAAATCCAAGGAATTCGATTCTAGGAGTAAAATAAAGAAATCAAATTATAAAATATAAAAACCTAGGAATTAGGAGTTGAGTAGTGAATAGATTTGGAACATTGGGATGAATTTTGATTCTGCATTTTCTCATATACGTCAAATCAACAAAAAATCTATAGATCTATACCATGATTTTATGATCCAGCCTCTAGCATTTGTTTAACCTGGTTAAATGACAGCCATTACTGTGTGTCGGGATAGGTGGTAGATGAGGCATATAACCCGATTACCTTAGTTAATGAAGATTCACAACCCAATTAACCAATTTGTCATCTTTTTCTCAAACTATACATTTAACCTTAGCACTACGCATACCATAAGCAAGAAATGTTTGAAGGAAATCGTGACCGAATACCAGCCACCACTCAATCTTTTACCTCCGTGTGCCACGTTCTAAAACCATTAGGTGATCCAGAGCAATCTCCTGAGTAATATACCTCACTATTAGGTAGACTAACATTTTGTTTACAACACAGGTGTCGCCAATCGGTAAGATCTGGACGGGTTTTCCGTATTCATGCTGATACCAGTTATTGATCTATCAGGAGAGACGAGACTTCCAAGACAAATGTAGTTACCACAAACTAAGCTCACGAAGTGAAATCCCAGGATTTTTTTGTACGATTATAAAGAATGGACATCACTAATGAGAAACAACATTTAAATGCATGCAGTGAAAGTAGTAAATTAAAATCGGGGAGGTTAGACTTAAAGCAATAAGTACTTGTAAAGGAATTAAAATACTGGACGTACAGTAAACACCATACGCAAGCTACACCTTACGTGTGTACTTCATTGAAGGAGGCTGACTGAGCAAGGAGAACACGTTGCAAAGATAACTAAATGAAGATCCAAAAGGTGATGCCGTCTTAACCTTGTGGATGAACGTAATTCACCAATAAAAATACTTTTTGTAAACCTGAAGTAGTTTACGATGAAGTTGAATCGCGTTTAACACGTTAGGGACGTACATTTTGGTAAAATCTTTGGACTAAATTAACTAATAATCTATTTATTCATTATTTATTTTAACACATAGATATTGGTACAAGGAAGCACCAAATACATATGTGCCACACAAATCTCATTTGATATGTGTGGGGGCTGTGATACTGCCCGGGTGCCCAAACCGAAGCAGGTAGTTTCCTTAGGGGGTCATACCCGGAGCCTTCGACCTGAACGTCTGATCCACAAGGCAGTGGAGCATCGTGAGGAGGTGCAGTCCCATGGTAGCCAGTAACCAATAATTGGTTCATACGCCATTTGTTCCTTCAGGATACTGGAGCCCATGTGCACCATTGATTTGGGATCCGGTTAAAGCGCCGGACATTCGCTTTTCATCCTCACATTTTTGTAAACAACACCCCCGCCACGAGAAAGCAGTGAGTAGGACTTCCCTGGCAGAGGCTATATACGCGTGGCCATGTGAGAGCGTTTCGAGAGGGTGAGCGGACTCTCCCCACTCTCAGCCGTACCAGGGCATTTGTATTTGACAGGTTAAAGCTTCATTCTAAAAATTTACTTAGTTTGGTTTTTGAGCTATTTTGTACTTTTAAATCTCATTGTAAAAGCTGGCGAACATGTTCACAGCAGGCAAAACAAGAATTTAGAAAAGATGACCAAATTAACGATCATAATACACTTTTTACTACAACGAAAAAAATTTACACTATTTTTACTTAGGATTGGCGATGAACTTCAGTTGACAAAAAATAAGTATTAACTATCGATGTAGTAATCCCTAAAATCCTCCTCATGACCAGTTTATAATTGTTCTGAGATAAAAAAGCATAAGGTTAACTATTACACAAAATCAAACTACTGAGACGAACTTCCAAAACTTAGTCTTTGAAATGATTATAGGCTTATTATTATAACGAGTGCCAAATCTGCTAAAAATCTTTATCCTTTTAGTCTAGCAAGTGGGAAGTAATTTTACTCTATGACCCCCAAAGTCTTCAAATGGAAGGGTCATAATAATCTTAACAGTTACTTGTCATTATAACTTGTATCACCTTGTGGACAGAACACAAGCACATACAATACTGCAAAGGTTCTTATGGAGGGGAATTGTACCATAAGTCGAGAATACGTTGCGAATTATTCCATAAAGTGAGCTTGATATTTGGAGTAAGCATCATTACGAACTTATGTTTGTATATTTTGCTTCTGGCAGTAAATAATGTCAAAAGTGGAGTTACAGATATCTAAACAAAATAATAAGCTGACTACCATACCTTTGTGTTCCATTTTCTTTCTGATAAATGGATCTATTCGCACAAACTCCAACTGGACATCGTCTGCATTGAAAGGAACCCAATTCCCGTTATCGTCTTTTGTTTCTATTTTGATTATGTAAATAACGTCATCCATAATCGTATACTGGCTAGGTGGAAGAGTTTCACCCACTCGGTGGTGTTTCACGTAAGTATGTCGCAGCTGACCACGCTCACCCAAAACCCATCGCAACAGATTATCAGTAAGCATCTGGTTGCCACAAACAACACTCCTGTACGATAAAACATTTAAAATGAAATAAGATTAAGTATGAGAAATAATTATCTCAAAACAAATCGAACTAACACAAGATTGGATACAGGCTAATGTAAAAAACATATTTACTAAAAAAAAAATTAAACATATAACTGATGTAAAATACTTGAATTTCGACATTTAAAAAGTTGTGTAACAGTCACGGCAATATTTCAGGATGAGTTTTCTACTAAACAAGACAATGTATCAAAACATAGTCGCGCATACTTTATGCTAGGATCTGGAATACAGGCAATATTCACCGACATATAAATGCGTTAATTATTGAACTGTTGATCAAAACGCCTCAGGAGTAATCAGTCACATAAAGATGTAAAAAGTACATCACATTACTAGAACGCCTCCACCAAAACACTCATGACTGGACAAAACTTGAGTTATTATCTGAAGTAGCCATGTTGAATTACGTCTGTGATTGACATCTGGCAACGATTGAACTAAACCATTAGGTTTTAATTCACTAGTCAGTGAACGCCTTAAAAGACTCATGTCCTTCAATCATTTGAGACGAAATTGATAGTTCCTACTTTGTACCTGATAATTTGTGTACAAGAATGTTATTCAGCTAAAGTAAACTCTGTTTAGCCGGTTAGTTAATTTAAGATATTAACTAGGGGGTTTGCGTTGATAATGTCTTGAGAAGAGCCGTCAGTTGATCACATGGTGTCAGCTATCGACAAGGATTCTTTTCGACGTATTAGCACCCCGAAAAAATTCCATAACAGTAACAGATATCTTGATTAATAAACGTCGCCCAGTTCAGTCATGACTCTAGAAGATATCAGGGTGGAAAACTAGTCATCTAGAGAATCTGTAACTGACGCAGTAATGTTAAGTAATAAGCTCAATAATGAATAAAGCCTTTTCAATTCTACGAATGGCGATGAGCGTTTAAAAGTCATATTTACACATCCCCCCAAGTGCTGTTTTAGCATTGGCTTTGGCTACTATTTAACTTTATAAGTGTATTTGAGCGTGTTGAACATAGTATATTTTAGTTCTGCCGAACCTAAGCGATTGGCAGTTAAGAGAACTTCAATACACAATAAGAAAACTTGCATACTTAAAAAAAACAAGGTTAACTATTGCTGGTATCACTAACCAAGACAAAAGCAAACATAGCCTTCATCGAAAAAAATTAGATTTGGGGAATCCTGATTAATGATGTAGTCATTTACTTTTTTAGCTTAAGCCGTTTAAGGAACATCGTGTTTTATCCGTAATTAACGGAACATCTTAAAATCTGAGTGGCCAAAGTTATTACGATAATTGTGACATTAATATCCACCGAGCATATAAGTTTTTCTTCAACTTACTTATGAGACTCAGTCTCAACGGTAGATTCAAAAAACGAATTCGACAAAAAATCCAACGAACCAATGAACAAGGCACGAGCGTTATTTCTTGCTTGCAATGCCGTGATCAGTTGAGTGTTTGTGCCGACAGTATTTGGATAATCTGTTATGGTTTTGTCTGGATTGTAGCTGTAACAAGTTTTCGATCCATGTAAGACATCAATGAGCAAAGGGTTAGTTTGATCAGCTGAAATACTATCACAGTTAAAACATACATCAGGTTACCCTATCCCACGATATAACAAAGGTGCACCAACTTTCCCTCCAGTTATCACACTGCTTTTGACTAGATTATCTACAGACACAGCGATTAAAGAGTGCTATTGATATTAAAGTATTACGAAAACTTACTAAACCATCATCCTTTTTGTCGAAATTGAAATGGTCGATAACAAGAGTGTTTTCTTCGTCAAACTCCACACCGCATTCACTCCCTAACTCTCGAATCGATTCACCTACATTTGGGCCAGCAACTACAACGAGGTTCCCCCCATCGTCAACGAAATCGATTATTTCCTTAACATTTAATGCACCCCCAAATTCTAGTATTCTAAATTAGCGAAAAACTGGACGCACCGCTAACGGACGGGGCTAGAATAATTAGGCCCGAGTATAAATATTCCCCAAGGTATTTAAGTGAAATGGATGATTCGTCAGCAAGTTTTGTGGTCAAGTTATAACCCCTGTCTAATTCATAATATAACTCTATTTGAACATACTTGTCAACATATTTAAAAAAGTGGAATGAGTCTCCTTAATATAGATATTCTCCAGAAGCACTAGCAGATTCTTCGATTTATCTTCATAACTAGCCACAAAATGTGAAAATAATAGGACCAGTAAATGCAACCACATTATTTGCACAATGACGTTGTACTGGCGCCTAGCTGACGTACGCAAAGATCTGTGTTCAAGCTCCAATGGTTTGGTGACTACCAACGTTGTTGAGCAAAGGATAAAAATAAAAATTCACTTGGGAATTGTTTTTAATACATTGAAGGTAGTTCTTACACAGAAGAGTATGGGAATCCCTAAGCTTATCATTCAGGAACATAGTGCATTAAAATGTCTACCGACACTACTGAACCATATGTAAAAGTTTTACCTTTCTTTTGAAGGCGTTAGCTGCTGGTAACATCACCATCAGTTCTAGAAGTAAATTTTTCGGCCCACAGAAACTAGCTTGGAAAGGAATCATATGTACCCTGTACAACCCTACTGGAATTCAACATTTAGGTAATGAAAAATTGAATGAATTTCTGGCATTCAGCTAACAAACCATTCGTTGAAACGCAAGCAGTCATGACGGTGATGCCATGTCAAAGTCATTCCTCCCTGTGGCGAACTAGCTAGAGCCAATCATTTTTTTTCGTGCTGTCTTCACGATTTTAAATAAGTCCTGGTATTTGGAAGTGCCTAAACGTTCTGATTTTAAGCAATAAACATTAATGCTTCTAGAAGAGGCTACATATTTTTCACATAACAGAAATTTTAATGAACTTATTTATATTTTTTTGTGTGTATGATAAGAGAGTTAATTTGTTTGTGGTAAGTTATGGCCCATAAGCAAGAACGGAATACAGAGGCAAATAAATCCTCTGAATAAACTGTCCTGTAAGTATTCAACTTTGACGCTAGCGTTATTAGTTTTACTGAACATTCATTAGCTGAAGGCGCTCGGTTAAACATCCGCCCCATACTTTTCGACATATCGATAACTTTAAAGATATGCCTCCGAACTCCCACATTCCCAGCTTCTGACTTAACTTGGTTTGGGATCTCCGATGTTACGGATAACAGTTTATATTGTCCTAACGAATCAAGTACTCCATCAGGCATGAGTCCAGATGTAGATGTTTAGTACTATGGTAAGGCTACTCTTCTGTCTAAACGACCAGGAGCATATAATCGTATAAATGGTTAGATTTAAGATCAAAACAGCCGTGTGTCACCGGTTAAGGAGTTAAAAACTCATCATGATAGCAGGACAGGTGGTACAATAGTGAATAGCAAAGCTCCAAACCACACGATTTTTGAACCTAGACCTATGAATACTGAGATTTACACTTAGCATGTAACCCTTAGAGATTTATTTATTTTAACACAAATATTGGTACAAGAGGGCGCCAGATATATATCCGCACCACAAAACAATGAGAATTTAAAGAGAAGAGGAAAAAATGTAAGGAACGTATGGAATCATAAAAAAAGAGAACAATAACGACCAGATTAGTGTAAGGTAATGTATTATTAGTAATAATGGGGGAAACGAAAAGGTACAATCAGAAGAAATCCTTCAGTTAAGGGTGAAGTAACCGCTTTTTACGAAGAAAGTAAAAGAAGGTTACATCAGGATCGCCATTGGCTTCTATTCTGAGCCATATCTGATAACGTCTCTAGCCACTGTGTTACACCGTCTCTCGGACCCCAACCAGGGAGTCGTGAAGGACCAACAGAAGCCAGCCCTTTACAGCTTTCTTTCATACCACGACACCATGTCATACACTGACCACCTCTCCGCTTTTTCCAACCAGTCCCAGAGTCGGCAAATAATGCACGACGTGGAATTCTCTGGGACGACATTTGTAGAACACGTCCAAGCCACCGATGTCGGTGTTCTAGGATGGTGACACAAATTGGATTATCATCTCTGAATCTGAACACACGATGCCCAACCTCTGCATTACTAACATGGTGTTGCCACTGGATGTCAGCAATCATTCGGAGACAGCGATGTTCAAACAGTCATCTAATATCCTCAACTTGGAGAGACCAGAATTCACTAACATATGACTAAACTGCTCTCATTGGCGTGCTGTACGTTTGATCTTTTACATCCAGAATAACGTCACAAAGGCACCAAAGATGGCCCAGATTGGCATAAGCCGCTCTGGCTTTAACTATACGTACATTGATATCATCACTTACGCCACCATCAGCACTTACTCAACTACCTAGATACACGAAACTCTCGACTACCTCTATCCACTCACTACCCAGGGCGAGTACAGGATCAGGGCCTTGACAGTCTTGTAAAAGTACTTTGCACTTAAAAGGTGAGAAGCACATACCATACTTACAGACACTCATTGTCAACTAAATAATTGCGGATTGAATGACTTGAGTATTATCGTACAGTAAGACAGTATCATCCGCACACTCAAGGTCGAGTAGTCTTTCTCCAGGCAACAGATCCACACCGCCATTACTTACACCTATCAGAGCTGTTTCCAGAATGTCATGAATGGCAAAGTTGAAGAAGAATGGTGAGATTGGGCAACCCTGCCTAACCCCACTTCGTGAATGAAACAATGGAAAGAGGTGTTTGTATGCCGTCACTATGCCTGAGCTGTTTGTATATAGGGTCTTTAGGATGTTGATAGACTTCTCAGGCACACCCTTCTTCAATAGACAATCCCAGAGAATAGTTCTGTAAAACGAATCGAAGGCAGCCATGATATCAAGAGACACTACGATTGTTGGCCTTTGATAAGTATGGCGGTGTTCTAACACTTGGCGGAGGGTGAAGATATGATCAATACATCCTCAACCAGAACGAAACCCAGCCTGCTCCTCGCGAGTCAATCCTTCTCGGGTTCTGAACAACCTACGAAGTATGATGGAAGCCAATAGCTTGGACGCAATCGGAAGTAGACTTATCCCCCGATAGTTGTTACAGGAACAACGTGAACCCTTTTTAAAGATAGGGACAACTATCGACTCATTCCATGACGTTGGTACACTCTCTAGTTCCCAGATCTTTGTAAACAACGTCGTCAGTCCCTTAGTCAAAAAGTCACCATCATCATTAAAAAGAGCCGGAGGTAAGTCGTCTGTGCCCGGTGATTTGTAACGTTTCAAGAGTTGGAGTTCCTTGTGGACTTCAGCCTCATTTGATGGAACAGTCGTCACCGGCCATGGAGAGCAGGGCAGTCTGACCGATGTTTCCGGAGCAACAGGTCAGTTGAACTGCCCTTCAAAAAATTCTGCCCATCGTCCAAGACGTCGATGGATGTTAGTGATTGGCGTTCCGTCATCCTCGCAGATTGTCTCGCTCACACCAGACTTCTTGCTGCCAGTGGCTCGGATGAGTTGGAAGAGCTTCCGGTAATTACCAGATGCAGCTGCTGCTTCCAGCTCATTAGCACGCTCCGACCACCAGGCTTCTCGGTCCTTACGCAAACTTTGCCCGATTTCATTACGTAACATCCTTCGTCTGTGTTCAAACTCACGGTCAACCGGAGTAGACCGATGGGCTTCAATCAGTTGTAAGGAACCAGAAGAAACCCAGTGCTTGTAAGGGGGACGTTTTGCAGAGCCGCAAGCGGCTTTACTCAACATTTTTACAGCGTCATGCAAGTGCAACCAATGCTCATATATACGTTTCAGTAGGATGGTAGCTAGCATAGAATCTAGCTCGGTTCGATACTTACTAGCAACAGCAGTTGAAATTCATTTGCTGACATCGATCAATTTAGGACGACGAATTTGTTGGCCACTGAAAAGTAAGGTAAAATTAGCACAAACAATGGCATGATTAGAGTCCAGAGATGTACTCCGAAAAGAGCGACAATATTGTACACAACCACACCAGCGGTAGCTGGTCGCGATGTGATCATTCTCAGTCCAGACTTGAGATGCAGAGGGAGGACGCCAGGTGGCGCATCAGCTATGACTGTGTCTGAAGTTAGTGCTAGCCAGAAACAGGTTGTGGTGTGTGCACAGCTGCAGTAGACGATCTCCGTTATATGTCCTGTAACCAACAAGTCCTCAACTGCCACCTAAACGGCTCTCTTCTGTGTCTAGACGCCCGACCTAAACATTCAAATCTCCATCTAGTACTACAATATCTGTCGAACGCACTTTCTGGCGAGGAACAGTTAGCATCTGTTGCATCTGGGCTGCAATCTGTTGAAGAATAAGCGGAGATGACGAAAAACCATCGTTTCTCACGCCGATTTCTTCTCACTTTGATGGGACTCTCTAATCTAAGAGTACATAAATGACTGTTAATGGGGATCCAATCTATTAGTGTTGCCTCAACAACACCAACGTCAGCAAGACCAAACAAAGATGCCACAGGGTCCCCGGATAAACGCACGTGAAACAAGCTTTCCGAAGCGACAGATGGAGAGCGACCCTGTAGTGCTTCACTAGTCTTGAATGCGGGTCTCGGATAGACAAAAATCATCGATTTTATAGGTATCATTACCAAGGTTCGATTTGATAATTTCGAATAAATTGAGCATCGGGTTGATTGTTATAAATAAATAATTAATTGGTAATATCCCACAGAGTAAAAAATGTAGTTTTCTACTCATTGGAATATTACCAATATATTATTTATTTATAAAAATCATCGATATTAAGACTTTCCAAAGGCATAGCCAACCCTGTCTGTTGTCCAACCTACATAAGCGTGCGAACGTTGAAGGCAGCCAGTGGTTTCAGAAAAACTGTTTCAGCATTCGTATTTGGTGGTAGCATTTAATTTCTAACCAATGACTCGGGATCGTTTAGATAGAACAGTTTCCGCCATAGGTGAGCTGCTGTATAAGTCGAAAAGTGTGGATAGGCAAAGTGAGAATAAGTGACGTAGTAAATGATAATAATAACAATAATGATAACAATGTGGATTGTTCGACTGTATATCAAAGCGTGCATAGTGTTTTCAAGATCATGAACCCCATGTTCACCATTAGTTAAGAATCAGGATTTTCCAACTTTCG